GTTGTTTGTTTGTGTCTACTTTCATTTCGAAACGGAGCGACCTATTGATATGATTTTTATTTTATATATTCAATAAAACAGGACAGATATATGAACTACGAGGAGAGAAATATCGAACCGAGTTTTAGCAATCTTTTAATTAATATTAGTTGATGTTCACAAGTTGTATTCGAGAGTCGAGAGCTCAGTCGGTGTCTAACAGTCCTTCTAGCTAGATGAAATTACAAATCGCCCCCCAAGCCTCTACACAACGCCTCCATTTTTTTTCTGGGTCTCTTACCCTTTCTCTCTTACCCTTTAGGCCTCCAGCGCCCACAAAGGGGCGTTATCGCCCACTTTGGAAAAGGCTGCTCTAGAGTCGCTTTAGCAGTCGAACTTTTATACTACTACCGTGTAGTTCATTATCAAGTGCCCCCTCATTGAATTCTTCAATTTGCTAGGTGTCACTCAACATATATTTTTACACACACAAACGTGTTACTATTCGCTGACCTATAGGAACATTTGAATGCGCACTCAATTTGACGCAACTGTCATAGCAGTGGCTATTGTATGACGATGTGTTCTGTTGGCTACCGAGTGCACCGCTGAGTGTAAGTGACGTGAGTGTTTTGCTTCGATCAGTTGCTATTGTTGATCGTTCGTTGATTCTTTACTCTGTTTCTTTATCCTGAGAAATATTTTCAAATCAAATTTATTTGCAAAATAATATTATCCAATTTAATTAGCTTATAATTCAATATTTAAATTTAAGCTACCTGTATTTCTATGTTATAAAAAATTGTATTTCAAAACTACTGCCGTTTCTTTTTTTTATGTTACGGGGCAGACGAGCATACGGGTTACCTGATGGAAAGTGACTATCGCCGCCTATGAAGGTCTGCAACTCAGGAGTCACAAACGTGTTGCCGGCCTTTAAGGAAGGAGTACGCTCTTTTCTTGAAGGTTTGAAGGTCGTATTGGTCCGAAAATACTGCAGACGATAACCCGTTCCACAGTTTGGTTGCGCGAGGCAAAAAATGACTCGAAAAGCGCACAGTAGTGGAGCGCCAACTATCCAGGTAATGAGTATGAAAATTTTGCCGTGTGTAACGATGGCGGAAATTTGCGGCTTTTATTAGTCCGAACAATTCCTCGGAGCACTCTCCATGATATATGCGATAGACAATGCAGAGTGAAGCCACATCTCTACGTAACGCCAAGGGATCGAGCCGATTGGAGATGTTTGGGCTATCGACGATTTGAGTCGCTCTTCGTTAGATCCGGTCCAGAGGGTGTAGCTGGTGCTGAGGTGGCCCTGTATAGAGATGAGAACAGTATTCCATACTTGGACTGCGGACTTGCGCCTTATAGAGCTGAAGGCGGTGGGCCGGAGTAAAATATTGCCTCGATCTGTTCAGGACACCGAGCTTCTTCGAGGCCAATTTAACCTTACCCTCTGAGTGCCGTTCTAAAATATAACTGATTAAGTTTTTTTTTGTTGACGGGGTGGAAAATTTCACAGGCTTTCCCCTTCTTGTTGCCGATCTCGTTCAGCAGTCTCTTTCTGGAGTATTACAGCTCCATAGAAAGAGACCCAGCCATCCTTAACCGCCAACAGGGTAGTGATGATTGCTACTGATTAAGCCTTATAAACGATTTCTATTTGTTTGATACTTGTAATGGCACTTTTGCAGGAGATTTTGAATTTGCACAAAATACTCATATGACTGTACAATTGTCAAACTTGCAGAGGGATAACGATCAGCAGCAACTTATGATACATAATTAAAGGCTTACTGCATCAACTTTAGACTAACATAGGTCTGATTTGATGTTGATAGGTAGAACGGCCTAATTGATACGGTGCTGTATTATGTCATGTTAACAGACCACACAGTAGAGGTAATACAATGGCTTCTTGGCTTGTCAACATGTTAGGAAGAAGATTCGAAAAATTGTTGAGGTGTTTGTGTATTTACGAAGGGACTGAAGAAGACATAAAAAACTCTTAGGATTTGCCAACCAATCATACTTTTTCTTGCCATAATTTTGTTTATGAGCTCAGGCAACAAAGGTTATAGTCGAGGTGGTCTCTATTTGTGTACTTGATGACCATTATCAACGATAGAAGGCCCAAACAGGCGAGGTCTGTAGCCGGTCGTAAGCAACACGAGTTTATCTTCATTTCTACTGTTTATATTATGAATATCGCTAAACACGCTGATACTGCTGAACCTGACAGACTTTGTTCTGCTCGAACGTGAAGAACATCCCCTTCCCCCCCCCCATAGTGTCACATACTGTGTTTACTTGACTGTCTCGGTGATTAACGGGTTGGACCAAATGTTAGTAGGATCTACAAATATTTGTTTTGGAGTTTGGATGTTTCTATCTAAAACCTTTAAAAGAGCAATTCTTGTATGTATATATATAATCTGTATCTCGTAAACGGCTCTTACGATTTTCATGAAATTTAGTATACAGAGGATTTCGGGGGTGACTAATCGATATAGCTAGCTTTCATTTTTAGAAAATTTATCAAAATATTATGAAGGTATTTCCAAAAAAAAATATATAGTCTCTGTGACCCTATACAAGCACACAATAAATATATTGAAAGAATACAAATAGAGGTTAATACGTGATTATATTATTGAAAGAGTTATCCCCTAGCTCCTAAAAATCTCTGAGGCTTCCATTGTCAGCTCAGCAACATGAGATAATGATAACAAAACACAAATTGATGTTCTGAGAAATAAGATTAAACACGTACCCACGGGCCCTTAAAATTTGGTTGTTTCCTTCGATTCCTCTGAGATTGCATCTTCACATCCTGAATTGGTGACAATGGGACCACCTCGGGAGTACCTATATTCTTCCGATTATAAAAATAATTCTGAAATCGGCCCAAAAACAAACCCCAAAAAAACAACAGGGAAACCTCCCACCCCCTTGAGAACCTCCTCTCTTTTAGAAGTGAGTTAAAAAAATATTTCATGTTTTACTTTTTAACCTATTGTTAAAGTAGTTAGTTAAAATGTCGCAATTGTTAATATTAGATAGTTAGTGATTAGTGGAGATTTTGGATAGGAGGTAAAAAATAATGTGCTGTAGATACTCATACAAAAATAAAAAGGTCAAAAAAAAAATATTCCCGTCATCAAATACAACATGGTATTTTTATTTTTTTAAAGTTTACTTACTTTAGGAATTTATAACAGACTTCAAGAACACAAAAGAGGAGGTTATCGATAACTCTGTACTTTCTTTTTTGTATGTTTGTTACGCGATATCTCCGTCAATTGTGGACCGATTTTCAAAATTAATCGGCAAAGGGTATACTCCCGAAGGAAATGGCGCCGACTCTAAACAGACTAGAAGGGACTTTTACCATTATAATATTACCTGTTATATTGAAAATATATAAAGTAATCGATATTCGAAATTTAAAATGGATCTCGGCGAAATGTTTGATTGCTTTAAGTGCTGATTTCTGGTGCAAGCATAAAAGTGTTACTACCGTAACGCACGTTTAACAGTAAATAATAAATTTATTGCATTTTTCAAATTTAAGCAGTTGATTTTATTTATTCATGCGTAATAGGAATTACGTGGCAACCCGCATGCTGATCTTAATACCACATCACATTTCCTACAGTATAAAGAGCATCCGAATATTACAAAATAGAGTATAATGGAAATATTCAAAGCAGAATCATGGCCAAAAAACACACCTAATATTTTTATAATACATTTGCATACTGTCCCGTGTATTAGAAGCGTGCGAATGATAAGAATACGGAGTGTCACCCACCCCTATTACAAGGGAATTTATTATGGGATTATGGGGTAGGGCCGCTGCTGAATGACCATAACATAGAGAGTGGTCATAGTCATAGCTGATATGTTGAATCGTGTTGTGATGAGATTTATTCTTGGTGATGCGTTGTTAGGCCCGGCGCCCATTATCGGTACGGCATAGCAAGGAATCATTTGCCATACCTACGAGCAGACGCACACTAACGGCAATTATAGCTGAGGTGTCCTCACGCATGGCGAGGTGTGCTTGGGAATACCGAAGAGTTCTGAGCCATGCCGAGGTGTGCTTAGAGACGCCGAGGAGTTCTCAGGCATTTCGAGGTAAGAATGCCACTGCAAAAGTCTGGTCCCTAGCTTAATTTAGAACAGTGGCAACGTTCCAAGCGAAGCGAACAGTCGTATTCATGATTTAAGATTGAGACTTAGTACTCATTGCTGCAAATGGCAGCGCGCGTGGCGGGATGTGGACGATTTGACTAGGCGTCTCGAAGATTGCAGAAACTACCAGGCGAGGTGATCATGCCTGGCAGGCCACGGTTGTTATAGGCGGCGATCATGTCTGGCGGGCGACAGTTGATATTGGGAAGTTGTATACAGACTGTTATGTATCTTTTAAGGAATCTGTAAACTACATATTCTGCACTTTATTTCTAGATGATTTTCAAAATATGAGCAAAAAATATTCAGTGGTTTAGAAACAGGTCATTTTTTTTTGTTTTTCGTAATTTGTAACATCATGTGTACATGTAGTCATAATACATTGACCTCAGGCAGCGATCAGCTGTATACGCAGCGCGGTAATCATACGTTGCCACTTTTACTATACTCGAATCGAACGAAATTTGTTGATTATTGCGTCATCAGGATGAAGGACACGCGTTTTTAATTAGTTCATCCAGTAAGGGCAGTCAGTCGGTTTCATTTTGTTCTTAAAGCTTCTTGGTCGTACCTCTAGTCAAACTAACTATAGATTATAGAGCAATGACATTTGTCAAAGTCAACAAAAAATTGCTAACCTTCGTTTTTCTCTTTGAGTGAAAAATTAAAGGAATATATGGGTATACATTTAACGTGTTAATTCTGATTTTGGATGCGTGATTGCAGAAGATAATCATACAATTTGTATGGTTAATGCCCGCTTAGGTAAAATAAAACTAGATTTTTTTTGCTAGGTTGTGTGCGCCGGTGAAATTCTGATCATGGCGAATCCGTCATCAGGCGTTGGTAAGATTTTGTTTTTTTTTTTAAACATTATTTTGGTTGTTTGATACCTATTAATAATTACTTTTCTATGTAAAACATCGTCGTTCTTATTGTATTTTAAAGTTGTTTTCTTTCGACAGTGGTGCCACGAAACTTTCGTCTTCTAGAAGAACTTGAACAAGGCCAAAAGGGAGTGGGCGATGGAACAATATCTTGGGGCCTCGAAAGTGACGATGATATGACGCTCACTCATTGGACTGGCATGATTATTGGCCCCCCTAGAGTAACTATATATATTTCTTTTATGAAATTTGGTTAAATTTCTGTTTGTAAATACTAAAAAGTTAATTTATATTTCAGACTCCTTATGAAAATAGAATGTACTCTCTTAAAATTGAATGTGGCACCAGATACCCAGATGAACCTCCAACTGCTCGCTTTATTTCTAGGATCAACATGAACTGTGTTAACAGTCAGACTGGACTTGTGAGTATTCAGAAATAAATTGTGGTTTTGACAATTACAATATCAAATTTAAACTTTGTAATTGATGCAGGTGGATAACAGACAAGTTCCCATTCTTGCAAGGTGGCAACGCGATTACACTATCAAGACAGTTCTGCAGGAACTGAGACGTCTTATGACTCTCAAGGAAAATATGAAACTGTCACAGCCACCAGAGGGAAGCACTTTTTAGTTTCTTTTCTGATGACTTCTCAACAGACCCAATCTACCCAATATGCACATTGATTCCACACCACTTTGTTTCATAGTGATTTTCTACACGATTAAGAGATGACTTAACTTCATTTGTAACTGATATTGACTTTATTTTAGTAATGCTACGCTAGTGTGTATGTTAGATTTGTGTATTGCATTTATTGTGCTCAGAGTCAATCTTAATGTGCTAAGTGCAAAATTATATTATTTTACAATTATCGTAGATTGGGGTAATAACTAAGAATTCTTTTAAATAGCTCTTTATTACCCATTTAGAGGGTGACACCCATTTATTTATCATATTACCTAAATTATTGTGGCCTTTAAGAAGTTAAACTTGCTTTTGGTATTATATTAAGGCTAGTTTTACTGAAATCTGGGTTTTAGGTAAATGATTTTGAACCCATGCTACACTTGAGTTTATTTCAGAACTCTAAAATGTGAAAAATAACTTCACTTGAATTGTTTATTACTCTTAGTGGGCATATTGTATGTTTTATCAATCTTGTATCTTGTCTAAAATGTAAAGATTTTTATATCTGTGAATTTAGGGCTGATTTCATGTGACATAAATTTCTTGATTTTTTTTGTAATTTAACTTGTTCAAGTGTAAAATATTGTAGGAAATTTTTATTTCTTAGGTACATAAGATAAAGTACTACTGGTTCTTTTTAAGCTTTGCGTCAGGTTAAATATTTCTCAATTTGTAACTTGCATTAAATGCATTATTGAATGCATTTTTGTGTGGTAACAATCTTTTATGTAGCTTGTCAATTTGGGAACTTTATATTGCATTAGTTCCCATGCATGATTTTATCATTACAAACCAAATGCTAAGTCAAATTGTTTCATAGCATTACATATTTTTACCAATGTATAACTAGCAAAAATAAATAAATCAAATAACACTGTCACCAACTATGTTTTTCTTAATATAAACCTAAGGTTGTGTATCTAAAAAATATAAATTAATTATTTAACTTTTTGTACATACCAAATCCTAAAAATAATTTAAAATAGCTACTTACTTACAACTCCTAAAAAAAAATTCCCAAATAGCATGAGCAACCTAGAAAATTGCTATGATGCATTGACATGTAACTCCCTTGTTCTTCCTACTGATGAAGTTGAAGTCACTAATCTGATCCTTGGATTGAAAGTGGATGCTGCCTTGGGCTGGGATGGTATATCACCGAGGTTGTTAAAGTCTTGTCTATCTGCCCTTGTGCCGGTAATTGTTCAAATTTGCAATCGCACACTTTCAACGGGCTGTTTCCCTAAAGCCTTTAAGAAGGCAACTCTCTTTCCTATATTCAAGAGTGGGGAAAGGCACAGTGTCAATAGCTATAGGCCTATCTCAGTTCTGCTTGCTATGTCGAAGATACTGTAAAAAAATCTTAACAATAGATTAATTTACTTTCTGGAACGTTATAACAAAAACCTAAGTGACAATCAGTATGGTTTTAGAGATGGCCGATCGACTGAGGATGCAGTTGCCGCCCTAGTAAATGATGCTGTAGCAAAATAAGATGGCAAACTAAAATGTCTTGCTGTTTTTTAGACCTTTCTAAGGCATCTGACACTGGGTCTGTTCCACTCCTCTTGAGCAAGTTGGAAGGCACTGGCATCCGTGAAGTTGCTTTTAAAATCTTCCAAGACTAACTACGTGACAGAACTCAGTGTGTAAATATTAATGGCATTATCAGTGACACTGTAAAATTAAATTATGGCGTTCCTCAAGGTTTAATCTTAGGTCCAACGCTGTTCCTAAATTATATTAATAATCTATGTAATATATCCATGCCTCATTGCTCAACATTTACCTATGCAGATGATACAGCACTGGTTCTTCACGGTAGAAACTGGCCCGAAACTATGCAACGCAATGCATGCTCTCAGATTGGTGATGAAATGGCTATCAGATAATGTTCTAACCTTAAATATTGATAAAGCGGTCTACTTAGGTACCTTTCTCATTGCACTCCAAAATTCTTGCTCCCGCTGATACTATGACGCTTGAAGCCCATAATTGCCCTCTCGATATATCCTCTTCACAATGCGACTGTCCACAAATAACTAGGTCGGAGGATGTTAAATATCTTAGTGTTTACGTAGATAGTTCTTTAAGCTGGAAACCCCATATCAATAAACTCGCAAGTCGGATTCGCAAGTGTATGTTTATTTTAAAAAAACTGAGATACTCTGCGGATCCTGACACTATTAAAACTGTTTATTTTGCATTATGCTAGTCCATTATCAGTTACTACATTGTTGTATGGGGTGGTGCACCTAAAACTTTCCTTCTTTCTCTGAAGCGAGCACAAACAGCTGTCCTCAAAGTCATGACCACGAAGCCTTTTCGGTACCCTACCACTGCTCTCTACAGTGAGTGTCAAGTTCTGACTGTGAGACAGCTCTTTGTTCTCAGTACCATTCTCCGTAAGCATCCGACAGTACCGCATGGTTCCGGTACTATCAGCAAACTCAGATACCTACTTCAATGTATGTCCAGCGCAACAAAAACGCAGAACGAAGCTCGCACAGCGTAATTATATTTACGTGTCTAATCATCTGTACAATAAAATAAATAAGTTATGTGCCATTGCTCTCATGTGTCGTAATAAATGTAAAGCCACCGTGTCTGATTATGGGCGGAAATGGGCCTACCAAGCACATAACACTCACCGATATGTACGAGTACAATCATTATAACATATAAACGAATGGTGCCGAGCCATAAAAAAAAAAATCGGTTGTCTGTAAAGTCGGTTTACTGACGATAGTTGAACGTGACAACGTCATAAGAAAATACTGATGGAATGGTTGCATTTTTCAAAAATGTATTATTGTATACGAGTAGCAGCTGTCCACGCGGACGCATCGCTCACTCAAGTAGGAGAGAGACAGATGTCGAACGCTGCCGAACGCGGAGGCCTATTGTGCCTCTTTGTCACTCGTTCCGCGCTCTCGCTTGCACTTCACGCCTTAAATGGAACGCCTCAGAGCGAGGTAACGCCGCATGAGTCATGTTTTTTCGTGCGTGCAGCCGGCTCCATCGAATTATAAGACGTTGTCACGTCAAAAAAAAACAATAACACAACTAACCTACACACACATACCCAAACACGTACATGCACATATCACCTAAAAATGACATAATTTACATTGTTTTATTTATTATTAGTTTGTTTTTTCTTCCATTTACATATTTTTCTTATTTGTCTATTAGTTTTGTATTTTGTTTTTAGATTAACGCTGTGTTTGTCTAACAAGTATTAGCGACGTATGTTTATAGTGTGCGCGAGATCGCAGGTAGGTACCTACCCAAACACAAGTACCAGAGTTTATCGTAAATACTGTGAAAATCGTGTTTAATTACGCTGTTTATGTATTTTTGTGCCATATTGTGAAATAAATCATATTATTTTTATTATTCTCACTTAAACCTACTTGGCATTATACAAATAATATCCAAGTCGTCCAAATTGATAGGTCACCATGGATAATGGCAGCAGTGCATGCCTGATGTCTGAATATGGCACCATCAGCAATATAACAAATGACTGTGTTAATGAAGGTATGTGTAATAAATAATCATCTTTTTAGGGTTCCGTACCTCAAAAGGTAAGAAAGTCTGTCCGTGTGTCCCCACCGATTTTCTCAGGAACAGGTAGACCTAGAAGGTTGAAATTTATACCAGATACTGAGGTCTATGGTCCCTATTAGGTGTATAAAAAACTAAGGTCCTGAGTCAACACGATAAAAAGATATGGGCAATGATGATCCAATGATGACGGCTTCTAGCTGCCATACAGCGTTATGTTTCAGGCGTGTTGTCCCGGTTTGAGGCGTTCTCTCCCGGTTTGAGGCGTTATGTCCCGCTTTAAGGCGTTATGTAATTGTATTTTAAAATATGCAAACGTAGTGTAGGACGCCCACAGGCCAGGTGGGGTGACGATTTTCGCAAAATGGCTAGCAGGAGCTGGATGCGAGAAGCCCAAAATCGATCTCAATGGCATGCAATGGGAGAGGCCTATGTCCAGCAGTGGACTGCGATAGGCTGATGATGATGATGATGATGATGACCACATACTTCTGGTTTATGGGTCACCAAAGAGCCGGCGATCCGAACTCAGTGAACACCTGACCTCCATATGACGTCAAAAATAGGTCATAGACAGATCATAACCTTTTTTAACATTAATATGACATAAAAATTACTTTTGATGACTTTTAATATGATGTTCTATCCCTATCATATGTGTGACCTTAGTTACTTACTTTATTTCGGCATCGTAACAAACTTGGATTTATTATTTTTTATTAGAATGGAATGCAGCTTTTTACATCCTAATCCTGAGAATCAAATGCAAGAAAACCTTTAATAGCTAGTGAAACATTCTCTTTAATAAAATAAATAAATAAAAAAAAACGCCTTTAATTTCCAGTAAATTTTACATTTCTTAAAATCTATGTATGTGTTAGCTTTATTTAGTTTATTCTATGTTATTTATTTTTGTCTTATTTAATATAATTTTATGTGGATTTTATGTGTATTATATCATAGTATTTATAGTTACTTACAAAATTTTTATTTAGTCTACCGGAACCCCAGAATGGGTGAAGCCCTCCTCCAGTGATGCCCATTTGGCTCTGTCTTCAGCTATTTGTCTCCAGTTTGGATCAGCTATGGCTTTAATATCATCTTCCCATCTTATAATAGGTCTACCTCTTATTCTTTTGCCTAGTGGGCCGTTCCAGAATGTAACTTTTTTGGTTCATCTATGATCTGTTATCTGCGCAACATGTCCTGCCCACTTCCATTTTAATTTTTGTGCGTAACTCAGTGCGTTTGTTGCTTTAGTTATTTTTCTTATTTAAGTGTGTCGTATTTTATCCAGCTTCCTAATCTTTAACACGCTTCGTTCGAGTCCTCTCTGGCAGACGCTTATCTTTTTTCTTGCTTCAGCAGTGAAT